TTTATGGAGATGGAAAGAAACACAAGAGCAAAGCTCTTCTCACTGTCTTCAGAAAATTGCACTAGTTGTCCCAAGTGTAACATCATTTCATATGAGAAGTTTGACTGTCTCAGGCATTATTCTATCATTTTCTCTCAAGAGCCCTACTCAGGAAAGAGTTTACATTATATTTAAGTCCAAGGGATGTAAGCAGGACTTGAGCATCTGCTTAGCGTCACACAGGTGTTCATGTGTCCTCCCCAAACAAGAATTCTCTCCTGACTGACTACCATGAGAACTGACATAAAACACAGCATGAGCTCTATCATCTGTACTGAAGCTTCCAATCCTCACTCCCCTCTTCTCTCCCCTTCCCACCCCTCAATTTCAAAAAACCAGGAAAGACAAGATTTGGAGATCAAGTCAAATGTCCAATTTATTTTTATAACTTGAAACTGGAACAAACGTTGTTTTGAACGAGCGTACAAATGAAATGGTAGACACATGCTGAACTCAACATTGTGACAATAAGGGAAAAAAAGAGGCCAAAAATCTTGTACAGAGAATAAAAGGAACAATAAATATTTCACTAAGCCATATTGAAATGACCTCCAGCCATCTCAACATTTTATCCATAATAAAAAAAAAAGTGCTCTTGTTTTTTAAACAGAGCACAAATACCAAGCAATAATAAATAGTTCCAAACTTGTAGTAAAAGACAAAACCTCCAAGTAAACAACAAAAGCTCATACAATAAGTAATAGAAAAAGGTAATAAAAATATTTTGCCTTGCCGGTACAAATGCAAACAACTTAAATCAATGTTACTTTGCTTTGCAGTTCTAAAATACAAAGAGCACCATAAAAATGAGTTTGCCTGTGATAAACAAAACCTTGGACTGTCTTTTACATAGGACTGGGATGAAATGCTGATTTTTTGACCCTTTCCTTAAAAACTGGGTTTTTTCTTTCTAAAACCAGGTTCTTAGACCTGTCCTGTTGCTAATACAGTTGACTGGAGTTTTGCTCTGGACTTAAAAGGCAACAGAACTAGACACAATGAAAGTAAGAAATTCAACCTTAAAATACTAATAAAAACCCATTGAAATTGTGAAAAGAACTATGGCAGCATTCTAGCTATTTATGTCTATGCTATATTGTGCTTATGGCCTAGTAAACTACGGTTCTTCTAAGCGAGAAGAAAAGGAGGGCCATTTTATTATCACTACAGTCTGCAGAAACACAACCCTTGTGCTTTTGGGTGACTTATTGTTAGTTTCAGTGATCTAAGTCACAAAAGTAGACAACTGCTGGTGTTAGCCATCCTGGATAACGAAAAACAACAGGGGGACTGGAGCTCCTAAGCAACTTACACTAAAATGAAAGATTAAATTCTTTCTCTAATCAAGGCCTGAAAATATGCAGTTAACTTCTGATCTTCATTACACTGATGCATGTCCAAGGGATTCTGCTGAGTTCTGTGACATGACTGGATTTATATGAATCCCAGAGATCTGAATTTTCACCAAAAAGTGAAAATGTGCCTTTAAGGGACCACGTTCCAGCCTTGGATATGCTGGAGTAATCCAGGACTAAGAGCGAAGAATAATTCCTGATTTGTATCAGTTTAATTGAGATCTAGAATTTGTCCAGAAGTCTTAAGGGTATGTTGTTCAAGCCAGGAAGACATATAACTATCTGTTAGGTAGCTGGACCAAATTCTCCCTGCTGTTACACCCATGCTTCTCCAATTGCTTTAACAGTTCTGCAAATATTAAAGCAGCAGCAGAATTTCTCGTGTCATGGCAATATTTTTTGTCATTGTTTTTTTTTGTTTTACCGTCACTTCCTGCAAGAGCGATGAGCATTTTCTCCTTCTCCCCTTCACTAGAGCATCACTGCCTCTTCTGCCACCTGTCTTCCCCTCGACCCAAAAGGGAAGAAAGTGTGAGAGAGAGAGAGAAAGAAATGCAAAGAGAGAAATCAAAAGGTACAGGATTTCATCCCAGTCCCTCAAACATTCAGAAATTTATGGAATGTACAATAAGGAGTGAACAGCAGCAAAGCAGCTAATAACATGGACTGGCAAGACCTGTACATGGAGTAGGTCCTGTTCTGACAGGGAAGAGGAGGACTGTGCCTGGACTAATTTTACTTCAACCCGGTTACAGCTGTACCAACAGTAGAGCATTTTACAATTTCCTGTCAAAGTGGACGCAACAGCTCTCACTTTTTGCTATAAAACAACTTTCTTCCAGAGGGCAGTGGCAGGGTGCAGGGAGCAGTGAGTGTGGGCTGGCCAGGAGAGGGAAGATGTTTGGAAGGGGGGAAAAAAATCTCCTCTCTCTCTCTCAAATCAGTGGGGAAGCTGTGGGATGTCACCCCAGACACCTGTATGGGAATGGAATTTCATTTCACACAAATAGGCAATAACCATCCAGCCTGGTTCAACCATACCTGTAAAACCTTGATGCAAGGGGTCCAGGCAACTTTGAAGTTATTTAGAGCCCTGTGGGAACAGCACATTTTTTGTAGGCCATTTCTGACAAAAAAAATATATACAACTAAAATTATTCGTGAACAACAACAACAAAAAATTAAAAATAAAAAAGCACTTAATTATTTTGTTTTGTTTCTTTTACTCAAAGGTCGTCAAACAACCCCCTTTTTTTCCTGTACAATAAGGACTTCACATACAAATTTTTTTTTTATTTTTGCAATATTTTATCCTGCCAAATTAAAAAAATATATTATGGCAGCCTGTTTGTTTGTTTTTATTTTTATTTCCAAATTCACTAACAAAAAGGTACATTAAATCCCTTTAAAAGGACAAGCGTACAGTTAAAAAATTACAAGCTTCAGTAAAAATACAGCAAGTGCCTACATCATATGAATCAACCAATATCAATATCCATTCCAGAAGGGGAAGGAAACGGGGGAAGGGGAGAAAAAAAGAGAAAAAAAGGTACAGGTCAGAAACGTGATTTTTTTTTTCTGCAAAGCAATAACAATATTGAGCACTTTTTTCTACATACTTTTTCTACAGGGTGTAGCAATCACCTTTTAATCCCCAAATACAAGATTCTATACATTTTTTGAAATAAAAATTCAACACCCAAGGCAGAAAAAAATTTACTAAAACTCAAGACTTTACAGTTACAGTGACAAGAACAAATTTATAGACCCACCATTTAAATTTTACTGCAACATTTTCAAGGAAAAAAGAAATTTTTTTTTTTCTTTCTGGTTTTGTAAAATGCCCAGGCATTCTCAATTATTACAAATACTGGTCCACTTTTACAGTAATCAAGAAATTTTAATATATATAATATATACTAAAACCCCGTCACCAAAAGAAAACAATATACACATGGCCATTATGGCATTTTTTTTTAATAACCTATTAAGCAAACTTTGAAAAAAAAAAGATTGCTCAAACACACATACACACAATTTCTTTTTTACCCTTGTATGTATTCAATACTGTAAACGTATTTTAAGACAGAGTGCACTAAATTTAACTTTTAAAAAAAATTAGCCGTTGTTCCTGAATTGTTTTTTCTCATTCAATGATAACAACTTGTAATTTGTGTCATTTGAGTTTTAATTCAGCAGTAACTCATTTCCATTCCATTTCCTAAGCAGCGTTGTCCTGAAAAAAAAAAAAGGCTGAGAATAATTCAGCTAATGGATGTCCGAAGTTGTGCTGGGTATACATCTTCATTTGATTGGGTCTTATGGCATTTTCGTGTCCACTATCTTCAACCGGTAATTTTTTTATTTTTTTTTAAGTAAATGTGGCTCTTTTTTTCTAAAGAATGTACTTTTCTTGTTTTACCTTTTTTTTTTAAAGTCTTTCCATCTCACAAAAACATTTTGCATTTGTCTCAAGAGACTCAAATAGGAAGATCAGTTTTCAAGGCACTCACGTCAAATTGAATGGCAGTAGAAAAACTGTCCAATAAATTATTTTTATTTATTTTTCTTTATAGTGCCAGTATTGTGAATGCCATGCTTAGCAACACTGACACTTAATCTCAGTTGTTCTCTTACAGTTTAACCCACCTTTGGGCCAAGTAGAAGAATACGATGTAATTTCTTGTTGAGAAGCCATTTTTCTCTTAACCACAAACAAAAGCTTTAAAGTGCGGGTCAACATAATTAAAATATCTAACCATAATTGTCCACTGTTGGCTAATATTAGTCATAAAAGGCTTTAAAAAATTTTGAATTTGAAAGTAGAGCAGGTGCATTTTTCTTTACTTTTTTCTGTTGCAGTGCTTTCGTCTGAATGCAATTCTATTCTGTTCCTAATTAAGTCACGGGGAAAACTCTTACAAACTTTAGTAGGAACTGAATCTCATCAAGACAGGTAAATCAGCTAGAATTTATTTTTCCCTTCCTTATAATAATATCATTGCACATCATATAAGACAGTTCTAATATTTCTATTCATAAACCAAATGCCTGTGAGTTGAGGCTTTTCATTGCAAAATTCACACTTTCCCATCCTTTAGTAATTATTTTAACTACAGCAAATCTGGACTAAAGTAGATGTCCTGAACGCAAATTTATGATTTTGTCATTTCAAAAGAAAAACAATGGCATTTGGCTCCTCCAAGGTTTGAAAATATTATGATACTCGTGATGTACTTTTACTGTCTCTGGGAAGAGTAGCGGGAAGGGAAGACGGCGGGAAAGAAACCCAAAAAGAGACAAAATGACACCATTATGTTGCCACAGCTTTTAAGAGCAAGAAGAAACCATCTGATAGCAATGCACAATTAAGAATGATTCTGGATTTTGTATGTAGCTGCCTTCTGCACCTATATCTTATTCATTGCCACAACTTTAGTGATTAAAACCACCTAGAAAAGGCCTCTATCATCAGCGACATTGTCAGTGCTGCATATTTGATCCAATTCCAAAAGAAAGTGCTAGTTTTAAGATTGTTATCCGCTGTACAATTTTGTATTCCCTAATCTTTAAGGTTATTTAAGAAAAGTTTAAAAAAAGGAAAAAAAAAAAAAGGTATTCTGTTCAAATGCTGGCTTCTTCACAAGAAATTACACATGCTTAGCTTAAATTTCAACAAAGCAGCGGCCCAAAAATTAGAATTTTAAAAGATACTTTTCTCTTCTACAATGCAAGTAATCTCAGGCTACGACTGGGTAAAATTAAAAAGGGATACCCAACAAAATTTTTAAAGAAATTTAAACAGAAAGAATAAAAAAAAGTACCTGCACATGCCAAAAAATTACAAAAACCCAATAAATACAGAAATTATTGCACAGTTAAAAGGCTCCACAATTTTTACTGCCTTAATCAACCCTCGGGTTTAATAGAACTTTGTAGACACAGGTTATATTTAAGTGCCAAAGTCTGGCACCTACCATAGTTATGCTAAGTTATGTTTACGGAGGCAAGTTAGGTCATCTTTTCTCAGTTGGCAATAGTTAAACTGTACAAATAAAATGTTACCTAGACCCCTGAAATTTAACCTAGCGGGGGGTGGGGGGGGCCCTTAGCTTCTTTCTGCCTGCTCAATTTTGACGTCATTTGTCAGCAAATGTTCTCCATGCCACTTTTTCATGTGTTTCTCCAGGGTGCTGTAAACACTGAAGGGCATCTGGCAAATGTCGCAGCGGTAGACCTCCTTCCCTATCTGGCCGTGCGTTTTCATATGGCGCGTCAGCTTACTGCTCTGGGCACATGCATAGTTGCAGAGCTCGCATTTGTAAGGCCGCTCTCCAGTGTGGCTCCGTCGGTGCACCGTCAAATTGCTGCAGTTCTTAAAGACCTTGCCACAGTACTCACATGTATCGCTCCTGCGCCCTTCCTTCGAACTGGGTCGCCCGGGGCCGGGACCACTGATGTGGGGGGTGCTGCCTCCGCTTGCTGTGCCGCTGCGCCCTGAGAGCCCCCCGTCCAGCATGTCCCCTGGCGGGGTGGAGAAACGCAGGCTCCCGTTCTCCGATGAGTGTTCAGAAGAGGTTGCGAAGGGGGATTGTCGGGAGTCTGTGAATCCAAGGAATGGATCCTTCATGAAGTGCCGCGAGGCTGCATACCCTACCAGCCACTGGGAGTAAACGTTTTCGGAAGGTATTATTGTTGCTGGTGGCAAGTCCAAATCTTTCTCTACCTTTATTCTTTTAGAGGAATTGTTTAAACTAGGGCTCGTAATAGGCGTTGGCTTGCGGGGGAACAAGTTTGGGAAGGGTTCACCTGGGCCAAAGTTTCTTCCATTGACCGTCCCTTCCTCAGTGCGGTCTAGCTCTCCTACCACTGAGTCTTCGTCAGCTGGATCTCTCTGGCAGAGGTCTCGAGGACACAAGTCTCGCTGGTCAGAAGACCTTTTCATGAAGCTACTCCTCTTCTGTTTTTCAGCTAGCATGTCGTTATATTGCTGGATGGCACCTAGACTTACATTCTCAATGACTTTTCCCAACACAAGGGATTTCTCATCTGGCAGAGACTTGGAGCCATTTTCTCGGTTACGACTCAGCTCCGAGTCCATACTGAAGCTTGATTCTGGCCGGCTCTCATTTTCAAGCTCCTCTTCCTCTTCCTCCTCCTCTTCCTCTTCTTCATTGTCATGGCCCAGGGAAGGATCACTCTCATTCCTGAAATCTGCCTCACTGGATTTCAGTCCCTCTCCAGTGAGCTCGCTTGTGCCTGGCTCAGGGGAACTAGTGGTGGACAGTCCATCGTCTGACCTGCCCGTCATGGAGCCAGCTTTATGCATATGCGTTTTCATGTGGCGTTTTAGCTTGCTGGCCTGGGAGCAAGCATGGTCACAGAGCTGACACTTGTAGGGCTTTTCTCCTGTGTGACTGCGCCGGTGCACAATAAGGTTACTCTGGAACTTGAATGTTTTCCCACAAAATTCACAGGACTTGCTCTTGGCCTGAGGCTGGGGAGGCGTAGTGCTGCTGGGGGGCATGGGGGGCAGTGGCGGGGTGCTCAAAAAAGGTGATTTAGGACTTGGTTGAAAAGGATTCAACAGGCGATGCATAGGGTTGGTGCGACTGGGTGAGACTGGCGGAGGGGTGGAACTGTTTCCTGCCAGTTCTCGAAGCCTTCTGGAGAAATCCATCGCTGGGGACTCAATTGCCATGGGGTTTAAACGCATAACTCTGTCAAAGGCACTGGGATGCTGGGCAACTAACCCCATTTCTTCGGCACTAAGGCGATGTGGATCCAGATGATGACGAGGTGGTGGGCTGAACAGCGGAGGCGTGTTTGGGAGCCTACCCTCACCAAAGCCAGGGTGTTCACGCAAGATGGGTCCTGTCATCCGCAAAAGATTGAAAGGGTTGTTGTCTCCAAGGAAATTCATCAGCGGGGACTGTGCAACAGTCTCCGGTCCCAGAGGAGGAGGGATGGTGATGCGTGGAGTAAGGGAACTGTTTGAAGGGCTTGTTTCCAGGTAGATGCGGAATCCATGTGTGTTCTGGGCATGCTGAAGCAAGAACCAAGCGCTATTAAAAGGCTGCTTGCATGTTGTGCAAATATAGCTTGAAGGCTCATCTTTACCTATAAAAGAAAAACAGAAAGAACACTCAAAAAATAATACAGCAGAGAACATTTAGATACAGTTGGCATGCACTTTATTTTGCTAACACATTTCCTCCTTGGCATTTCTGAAAGAAGGACTTAATTGCAATGTATTGACTGATATAAATTGTTGAACAGCACATTTACTCACCACACTTATTCACTTAACATGTATGACAAATATCACACGTACGCATTGGTGCTATATATGTTTATATCCTCTAACTTGCAAATAAAACCTTCCTTTATGACACATAAGGATTCACATCCTTTCACATGTTCATTCCACAAAAAGGAATTTGTTTCAAGGGATTTATTACTACAGACAAAACCCAAGGAAAATGTAGCGTGGTACGCTTTACAAGGCACCTGCAAGTAGCTTCAGTGTCATTCTCATTCTGTCATTTTATATTTTTAAATACTTCATGCAGCAGTCCCCTGACATCTAGCTAAAATTAATTTATACATGCTTCAGTCATGCCAGCACTTCCATTTTTAAAATACTACGTAGGTATTTAGCTGCACAAGTTCTATTCAAGTCAACAGGAGCCTGGAAAACATACCCTTGCATAAACCACTTTGACATTCTTTTTGCCAAAACACCAAGAAGCCACTCAAATGAAACATCCGGTAATCAAAGCCAACAGCACAGTTGCAATTAACAGTAACAAACGTCGGGCCGTGCTTGAACTGAGTCCCAAGAATTTCTGAGCCTAAGCCTGCCCTCCAATGCAGAAACACTCACCGGAGCCAAAATCATTGTTCTGTTTGCCTTTCTAGCCTCTTTGAACGACTGCATAAAGGTGGAAACCATTCCTTTAACCTTGATTCAGCTTTACATAAAGGACAGGTGTGGACAAGTCTGCACTACAGTCATAATTTTGCCAGCTAGAAAATTCCAGTCCTGAGCACAATATAAACTATGTGCTATCTTGAAAAAGCACTTTCCCCCCTCTCCTCCTTATTTTTCAATGCCTCTGCAAGACTCTGATAAACTCATAAATATGTGTCAACTTGAAAATCATGATCCAGGATTTGTTTTGTTGTTGTTTTTTAAAGGAGGGGGAGGCTTCCTGAAAAACAACTACCCATTTTAGAATATCTAAAATTAATTTCTTGCTTGCTTGTTTGTTTATGAAAGCACATATTTTGGCTAGCAATGGCCCCACTGCACCTAAAGGCACTAAACTTCCTGAAAGTTCAAAGCCTGAACCAAGCTTCCTGCCTGACCCATATATGCACAACAACCTACATGAAGCCCTGTACCAGCCCCTTCCAAAGCTGAACTACATGACTCTTTTCTAGATGGGGGCAACTGCAATTAACAAAAGCCCAATGCTTGAGCTTGAGGATGAGTTTATAAGGTGAACAGAACCATATTATCAAAACTGCCTTTGTAAAGAGGAATGACTCATAGCAGTCAAAAAAAAAAAAAAAGAAAAAGAGAAAAAACCCTAAACTCGGGCACACCAGGCAAAGCAGGATTGCTGCCGACTGAATTCTCCTCTTCTGGCAGTTGCAGGAACGGCTACTGCTGACAAAACCTACAAAACCTTAGACAAGGAGGCTAGAGGATTATCTGCCTACCTATCAGCCTGTCAGTCTATTTAATCTTATCACCCAATGTACATCCATAAAAGCGTAAAGGAAAAAGCATCTATCAGATTGAGACTTATTTACAAAGGTAGGTGATAAATGCGGTGCAGCTCCTCACACTCCTATTGATTTAGTAGGGCTATTGCTGTGGATAGCAGCTTCAGACCCTGATTTCAGAGAAGCTGCCTCTCTAGATCCAAGACGTGCACAACACACCGGACATTTCTGCCTCTCTGATACGGCCCCTGTGGTCCAACCCTGCACACTGCGTCGTACGGGACAGACCCAGTTGGTTTGATTAATCTCTAACAACTGCTATTGGAAAAAAACACAAGTTTGGGAACTATACTCAGCTTGGAGAATGTGCCAGTAACTGCTATTGACATTAATGAAAGCCACATACAAACACGGAAAGGAACTGATACATTATCCCCTAAAAATCTACTCAGCACTGAGGCAGTTAGGGAGTTTTATGTCAGCTCTGCAGCCAAAGCAACAGTAAATGCTCCCATTATTACTTCAAATATTTAAATTTCTGTTTCTTACAGAAATATGATGAAAATGTCTAGATCTTAAACTTTTCTTGCGCAGCAACATGTATAGTATAAAAAGTGACAGAAATCACTGAAGCAGACTAAAGTATATAACATACTCTGTCGAAAGCTTTTTTTAACAGTATGTTTTACCTCAGCTCACCCTAGAATAGATTTTAATAAAGCCCCTTCCGAAGCGTGATATAATAGCAAATGAAGTGCAGCATCTTACAAGGTCATATATCTTCAAATTAAACAGTGCTCTGCACCCTTCACCTTCATTTTATCCATTCTAATTAATCGATTTATTACCCACAGCTGTTCGATTCTTTCATTTTTAAAGTCACAGCATGCATTCTTTCTTTATTCTTTTTTGGTTTGGGATTTTTTTCTTTAAAAAAATTAAGTGTGTGAGTGTGTATGTGCATGCATTCCCCTCGCTTAGCTCAAGAGCTGACAGGACGAAGAAAGCAGCTGTGTATTAGACAACGACGACGACAGCAACACGTTTACTTCAGCACATACGTAAGGAGAAAAATTCCTGAGCAGGCTGAGGATCAAGGCCAATCTAAAACTGAAATGGCTGATTAAAAAAATTACCCTTAAAATGGCAGCTGGCCGGGTGCTTGCTACTACGTGTTACATGGAACTGAGATGTTTTGTTTTCTTCTCCAAAACTTCACCTCTATGATATTCAAGTGAGGAAAGTAAATCCTCCTCCTTTTTAGTTTTCTTTTGAACAGAGCAAATTAGTGCTATTAGTGATCTAAGATTTACAAGCTCGCAGTCATAAAACAGTCTTCTTTTCCTTTTTGTTTTGTTTAGCTTTTATGCTCCTTAACACCCCTCTTCGAGACACCCTGACCTGATGGCATAATTGACTGCAGGCTACCTAGCTACCAATCTCTGACTGCTTCACGAGTGTTCGTGTGTGCATGCCTGTGTGTATCTACACTTTAACTTTCACAATCCTCAAAGACTCTCCCCAGACTCCCCATTTAAAAAAAAAAAAAAAAAAATTAAACAAGAAAAAATATAAAATAAAATGTTCATTGCCATATTATCACTTCATGGTATCTTGCCTAGAAGTTGCCCTGAGCTGTGTAGATGCTCACTTTTAAGAACAGAACAATGTCAAAAAGTCTTTGAAGATCAACTCTGAACATTTTTATATTCAAAAACTTGCTAAATATTTCAAACATGCCCAGAAACAGCCACGTATTGCTCAAGAATGATCCTTATATTTAATAATGCAGTGCACCTACACTATAAAACTCTTTGTTATAAGGCTACTTTTGATATATGGCTATCTTAATCCCTTGCCACCTGCACTGAAGTCTGGCTAAATACCTGCTTTATGACAACTAGCTATATAGGCTTTGCCATATGCAGTCTTTATCACTTCAGCATGTGCTTGACTTTGAGCATGTGAGTAATCAACATCAGTGAAACTTAAACACATGCTGAAGTGCTGTGTTGGATAGTGATGAAATTATTAATGTGCTTAGAGTTAAGCACAAGCCAAGACTTCATTAATACTGTTCAATGAATTGCACACGGATTCAACCCGACGCTCAGGTCTGATGGCTCTAGTATAATTTTTTATCTTTACATTAGTTGATAGGTACGGTATATGTACTGAGATGAGACATCCAGGCCACGAGCCTTGAGCAGTCAATAGTACCTTCAAGGTTGCTCTAAAGCCAAACAAATAATGTCACTGGAGTTCAGGCATGAGACAGGTTTGTAGGCCTGGATTCTGCTGAGGTACAGGTGTATAGGTTCAGAAATATTGATTTGGAGGCTAGGAAGGATGGTGAGATTAAAGAATAAGAGGACTGGGATAAACCTTAAGGGTCGCCCTTGTCTGATTCCTGATCTAAAGGATGTCCGTATCTATGCATCTATTGATGATACTTCAAAGGCTCCCCTGATGGAGAGTCTACAACCTTCCTGAAGTTTAACTCATTCCTTTTCTCTTTTACCATCAAGAAGGTTCCCCAAATACCTAATTTAAATCTTTCTTCCTGCAATTTAAGATTATAATATTTTATCCTACCTACACGTACATGAAAAACATAGGAAACTATTTAGTCTGCACCTCATGTACAGGTATCATCCCAGCCCAGTGATTTGCAATTGAACCACTTCATGTCTTTTAGAACCCCCATTCTCCCAACTTGAATTGGAAATGCCAAGTGAGAGAGAATTCACTATGTGTCAGAGCAGTCTATGGTAATGGTTGACTATTTTCAGCATTAAAAAAACTTCTTTCTTTCCAACTTGAATTGCTGAATTCAACTGCCAACCATTAGATCTTTTTATGTTTTTACTTGGTAGATTAAAAATCTCTCTAGTATCATCTCCTTAAGCAGGTAATTATAAACTATGAACTTGTTGAACACTCTTGCCTTTTCTGAGTATTATGACAAAAGATGGTCTTTTCCAGAAATATTAAAATGTGTTCCCTCCATTACTGCATGACAGATTATGATCCGTTCAAAATGTCAAAGCAATAATGATCTTTTTTCTCTCTCATGAACAGCACACAACAAAGCTAAATTCAGATCCTGCCTCCGAATTCTGCCCTTACAGAGAGCAGTGAGAAAAGACAGGCCAGTTTGCCCAGCCCAGAACAAGAGCTGCCTGGGTCTGTGGGCATTCTTCCCACTGCACCAGGCAGCCTGAATCCCCTGACTTATCTGTCGTCTGCAGTCTGACTTGTATCATTTAGTGATACGCAAATCTTCCTTACCCAGTGGGTACATGACTTTCTATATACCCTGAACACTGAGCACCTTTGCCCTGGAGATAAATCTTCCTCAAAATATCCTCAGTTATTCTGGATAC